AGGATTCAGGAGAGAGGACCGGCAGAGTATCCTGGCCCAAACGTCGAGTTAACACTCACCAGTTCTTCTAAGAACCACACCTCTTCGAAAAGAGACTAATTCCGTAGTATACCCGCAAGCATATATGTCATGTTACTTCCACCACGCAAGGCTTCAAATCTTACTTAACTATACCGGCTGTTCGCAACAAGCTTCGATGAACAGAGCTGCTTGTGAGCTGGGCCTATATTTCACCAGAAACCAGTGCCGTAAAAATACAACTCGTTAATCTACCAAGCTACTCTGGGAAGGATGCGTCCAGGACTTTGATCTGATTGGTCTTCACCTAATATCTTGAATACAACCTTGTGCGCTCAATGGGAGACTTTGAGACGCACGGTGGCGGCAGACAAACCGGTCCTTCTCCGAGGTAGTGCGCGTGCTCAGAACTAACGCGCATGCCCACATCATATTGGGTTTGGATCATGAAAAAAACCTAGTTCCTGTCTGGTCATACTGACAAGATAGTAATCGTAGACTCAGTGTCAGAAGACAAGATTACTACACTGAAAATAGTCCAGGTATAGAGTCACGATGACTCAAACTAGCTCTTTTCTTGCCTTCTTGACGACATGTTGACGACTTAAAGCGTGTGCACAACGGCCAGGTTGATTCGCCTATCCGACCCACACAAGGTCGGTGGTCGAGTGGTGAGACGTTTGCAGAAGCAAGCAGAGATCATTGGTTCGAATTCAATAGGGGCAAGCGTCTGATCTTTACATAAACCTTTGCAAAACACAGAAAACTGGGACAAAGCACTTGTTATGATGACCAGCTTTGGCTGTGCGTAAGGGTAACTGTCATTTGTTTGCACTCAGGTGTTAATGGCATTTGTACCTCCAACTACCCTCCACCACAATAGCAATTTAAAACTTTCACCTACGTCGATCGCCAAATCGACCTGAAAATACCTCAACCTAACAACCGACTCTAACTGATGGAACTGAACCTTTGGAATGAAATCCCGCTTTCTTTTGTTCCGAGTCAGTTTTCCTTGATTTGGCCAATTTCAGCAAGAGTACAGCGCCCCGCTGGCGTCTCACCCTAAAGTTAATTTAATTACCCATCTTTCTGAAACCAAAACAGCACCTCAGGCTCATATTACTTGATTCTTCCTTATTCTGGCATATGCATGAGATATTATTATGGCGTTGGTGTATAATTTTCAACCGTATTGAATGGCATTATCAGCATCCACACATTATCTACCGTGGGTGTAGCACTTTTCTTCTCAAAGACCCAAGCATTATAAGCAGTCAACCTGTCCTGTTCTGACACGATATAGTAATTTTACAAGTCACAGAGAACATCTATTGACTCAAAAGTTTCAAATACAGCACTGCAGCGCGAAGTATTTTACATCTACAATTAATTTGGAACTCCCTTACGAGTAGCCACGCCTACAAAAAGGGCCTAAATCAAGAGTAGCCTCCATTCGACACACCGGTGACACGGACGAAAAAACACGCGCACCGGTCTTTTTGTCATATTCAATGCAAGCATCCGAGGTGCCACGAACGCCTATAGGCTATAGATCGAACGCCGAAAGGCTATAGATCGATCACAGAATAATACAACGACATATGTATGTGCCAGTGAACAGTATGACCGATGGAGATCGGGTAATTATAAAATGACAGGCAATAAAAGGATGCTTTGCTAATCAATCAAGACCGATGAGGCGAAAGGCTCTGAATCGTACTTCTTCTCAGGGGAAAATAAAAGTGCCCATATCATTTTGTCATTTGACAGGAAAATGCGTGCCCAGAATCGATACTGAATTTTATCCTGGATGCGGACAAGTTGCGCAAGACGCAGGAAGATAAACTGTTGACGAGATGCGAACTTGGCCTGCCACCAGGTTGGTTAAAAAACTGACAAATTAAAGACTGATTAATAATTACCTGTATTTTTTTGCTCTGTGCTGTATTTACCTCCGCCCAATGACTAGCTTTTGCACAACAACTCGAGCATCAACTGCCCATCTGTTGCAGTGCATAGAGACGTAGACAATTTTTTAAACGATAAACAGTAGGACCCAATTAGTTTGACAAGTTCATATCTGCAGCTGCTCTGTATTACATTGGAGAAGAAAAACGACAAGTATTTCACAACTGAAGCAATGGAAATTCAACCTTTTCCTCTTCGGTAGTAATTCCCCAATCCCTCTGTGCAGGACTTAGTACTGATAAAACTGTCGCTATTCTGAGTCATTTAAGGTTCCCCATCGAAGTCCTTTTTCATTAAGATAAACTACGGTATGCAGTCATAGCATTGTCAAAAGGACAAGCAGCGTTTCAGATGAACAACATTGCTCATCCCGAATGAGCCATTTCGGTATTTAAACACACAAAAAAACCAACAAAACAAACCAAAAAAAGAAATCTCAAAAACAAAAACGAGGTAAGTCGGGAACACACCGAGCGCGCGAGTCCACACAGAGGGTCGCGCAGAGAGGGCAAATCTCGTGCGCGCATCCGAATGACCTTGGGCGCATAGGCATGCGCAGTTGGATCACCGAGCGGGTTCATTCCACATCTTCCAGTGAGCGTTTACACTCCATTTTTATAACATGGACGTTTCAGATCCACATGATTGGACGGTGGAAAACGTTAACGCCTGGCTCAAGTGGGTCTTCACGACCTTTGACCTCGTTAACGACGACGACATGGGGTCAAAGTTACAACCCTTCCCGTGGGACGGCAACATGCTGGCAAAGTGGACAGCAGACGACTTCTTTCACTTCTTCGGCCCGCACGGAGACCTGGTTTACGAGAACTTCGCAAGATGGCTGAACGGTGAGCTAGTGAACTGCAGTCTTTGGAATAAGTCCGAAGGAAAATGATACAGAAGAAGTATGAGCATACGCCGAAAAGCTTTTTCTTCCAAGGAAAGTAGTGTGGTTAAAAGTGCTCTCTTTTTTTTTTCAAATTGCCTTGCGCAGTTGTTCATTCGTTGAATTATTTGGTTTTCTCAGTTTCTCCGGAGAGCTTGGAGATACAAGACAATCTCTTTGATGTTCAGAAGGACATCAATCGACTGGAAGACATCAAACACCGACTACTGGACACAATGGTAGCGCAACAGGTGAGTACACATTGCGATCCATTACAACGACACAGACAGTCAAGCGAAACAGGATCAATCCTACACACTTCAATGTCACGAGCACAGTTTTCTACAAGGAACTTTTCACAGCCCCTAAGCGCATGTAAGTAAGCAGAAATCTCATCAAAGAGAGCGACCCAACAAAAACACCCGCGCCGGTCTAGGGGCCAAGCCCAGTAGTCAAGCAAGCCAGCAAGGTTAGCATTTTCTCTGGGACACCTCCAGCAATCTTTGCGATCACTCGGTGCTCTCACAATTTGTACACTGTCTACTCAAGGGCGACTGTTTGGGAACAGATAGTGGGCACCTCTGCACCAGCAGTTGTCTCCGTTTCCACTTGAAGACACGCATGATTTCTTGAATTCAGTGCACGGAGGAGAGACGCTGACCTCAGATGATAAAGGTCTGACATATGAAAGTACTTTGTCCTGCAATTGTTGACTTAGATACCAATAACTTCTATTTGCAAAAGGTTGGGTTATTAATAGACTCATTGTTCCCTGGCTATCGTCGGCAAAATTAAACTCACCTTAAACTGACTGAAAACATGCTGTATCAGCCCGAACGGCGGAAATTTGCTATGATTTTTTTGTCGAGAGTTCCCTTTTTTACAAAAACCAAAAACCACTAAACGGAAAGCCGGCGCGAAGCCAAGGGCGTAGAGTCGTTATCTGCTGTGGCACTTTTGGATTAAAAAACAAACAAAAAATCACTGCCCCCTGGCAAATTCAAATAGCTGACTTTTCAGCGAGGGTTAAAATATGAAGAGCCTGCAGTTCAAATTAACGGAGGAGAAACTGCGTGCCAACTTCTTTTGTTTTTGAAATGATTTGAGGGAGCTTCTTTCCAAGTTCAACTTGATTAATGCGATGAGCCAAGCTGTCGCGAATGCAAATACATGTAGCCGTAATAAGCCAGCCAGAAACCAATACAATCTCGTGTGTGCTCGCTTTAAAGGACGACAGGGCGTTTATAGGAACACTAACAAAGTCTCATCAAACTGCCTGTTAAGATTGCGACCAAACAGACTAAAGGCGAGAGAAGCGCTTGTCTCATTCCTACCTAATCAAAACCAGGCACACCATAACCCTGGTCAAACGGGAGATACATTATATCTAGCTATCATCCATATTTTACACGAAACGGTACATCCTGTCAGATGATCGGATCATAACTTTCGAAACAAAATGGAACAAAGTGACGGATGTCCACGAGGATAAACTGCACGCAATGAGCGGAGTTGACCAACAGTTAATTAAACCGAAAGTTTGTACAACACTTGTCGGAGAACAAGTAGGCAATTCAAAAGTGTACCAAAACACACAAATGAAACTGGGCCAAGCTTACTGTCCTTAGCTATGGCTCTTAAATTTTCAACTGCTGTAGAGTCTCAATCCTTGCTGACTGGCGGAGATGTAATTTTTCCCGCGTTTACGGCTGCATAATTATAAAAGTTAATACAAACAGCCCGGATTTACATAATTTCAAAACTGCATGACATATGTGCATTATATCTGGAATTTTTCAGTATGATGAAGACAATTACCGGGCCCCTCTTGGAAGACTGGGACTCCTGTGAACAAATGGAACGAAATCGATAACTAATTTGATACTTTCATTACTCCTTGTGATCTCCATGGGGTTCAATGAGCCACTTTGAATCGACCATGTTCAGTGTGTGCGAGTCGGCGTACGGCTGCCCTGAGAAGGCCGACCTCGCGTGCATTTATTGATGATCTTGAGTGACCAACAACGCGCTCCAGTTTGAGCACGTACCGAACTGCCTGGTTAACAAAATGGCTGGGGTTTAATTGAACTGGCTTAAATGCATAATTCAGGTGTTAACATAATTATATCCTTCCGTCTACTCTTCCTCAGCCTATCTTTTCTCAGCCTTTCATGAAAACCGAATATGGCTCTAACATGAGCAGTCCGCCACTCTCGCCACCAATGAGTGACGACTTCATGTCACATGACCTAGACACCAGCCGTTCCCGAAGTCTGCCCGCCAGTGAGGTGTCATCAACCACGTTGACGTGCTACCCGCACGCAGTAGCTCCCGGCTTCTCGATGGTGGACGATGACATCCACCCCTCCTCTCTCTTCATCGAGCCGGAGTCGGACGGCAGCGGGCCGCCAGCTGTCATGCGAACCAAACGGAGGCGAGGCAGGCCTCGTAAGCCCAAACCGCCAAAACAGAGTGAGTGTCACCTCTCTTCGTTAACACATCCCCCGTCCCTCTCACCACAACTCTGATAGCTGTAACCGGCCCTGGCCCCTGGGGCAGGGTCAACTTTCTACTATGGCACGCGTGCCAAGATTGATGAATCCGCGGAGGCGCTAATTACTGAGCTGCACGCGGGATATCCTTCACCTCGAAGAGTGTGGGAAATTTGGCAAGTCACGGACCATGCAGGTCATGAAAACAATTGACCTATCCCGACAAAATCGCCTCAACGTAGCTTGTGAAATATTGTTCAGTTACATGCTATAGAAATAGACACCGGATGTGCAAAATATGAAACAAACAAAACCAAACGTACACGATTCCATTTAGAGTTATCTTAAAGGCGTGGTTAAGTCGCAACAGCGAAAACTTAATAAACAAGCGCGTACACCACTGTGGTATGTTTGTGTTATTAGCCTTCAAAAGCTATAGGGTCCACCAAAAACTTTGGCCAACCAGACAGCAAATAACGTTAGGTGTTAAAGACCATTTCATACTTTTGCCAATTTCTCCAGAGCGAAGCCAGCCCATCTTGTACAAGTTCATCCTGGGCCACCTCAACAACCCCAACATGCGAGACAAGCTGGAGTGGGTCAACAAACAAAGCGGCATCTTCAGGTTCCATTCGGCGCGCAAGGAGGAATTCGCTGAGATGTGGGGACGTTACAAGGGGAACCGCGAACAGATGACGTACCAAAACATGGCGCGCGCGCTGCGCAACTACACAAGGGGCAAGACAAAGATTATGGAACGAGTCAAGCGAAAACTGCACTATAAATTCTGTCCCGATTTCATCCAGTAACGAAGCAGTGGGTATTTTCGCTGTGGGTAGCTTGGACATTGTATGTTGGCACGAATTGTCTGGGCACTGACAATATCGGGCATGTCCGACAAACAAAACTACATGTAGCGCTGACATCAACTGTTTGTAAGCATCCTGCTCGCGCACAACCAGTATTTCACACATACTGATATGCGGTTTTTAGACAGTTGGAATCCCTCCGACTGAAAGAAGATTAAATTTGAGCGAAAAACCTCCGCGCGTGCGCGGCACCACCCATGGCAAGACTGTTTGCGGTGATCGGACAGGTGTATTTGCACTAAGACAGCGAGCACACGGTCAAAACCCCAAATGCAATGTACAACTTATGTATCAAATACGGACACCGCAACACAGCCTACTGTGTGTATAGGCGGCTCCTACACGAAATTAATAATTTAATTCCAATCTGAGGGTGACTACAGAAGTCTAGTACCAATGTCAGCTGATAACCGATCTATTACAAAGTTCGACTTATGAAATCGCGTCTATTTTGGGTGGCCATGCTTTTTAAAGGCCAAAAAAGAAAGTACACGTAGGCCTATGAATATTTATTTTAACTGTTACTTTGAATTGTGGTGGCTTCACTAATGTACACAGTCTTCATTTTGACACGGTCGCATTGTATATGTTAAAGTTGTCTAGTTATCAAAGAGATTAAGGGATACTAAGCACAGTTACGCAGGAAGGATGGAGCCATCAGAAGTGTATTATAAGAAGAATGCCAGTGAGCTTTGTCAAACAAAAATTAAGAATTAGGACTCCGGAAATAAAGGGATTTCTATGTTTCTGATGTCAATCTCGCAAGACCAAGTTGCGAAGACAATGTTTTTAGAAACTTTTACAATCATGTTGGAGTAATACAAACGAAAAAGGGAATATAATAAATATAACATGTAAAAGTATCACACAATCAACGTTTCACAAAGGCCAACTAAAAATCGTGCAATATAAGCTTTGACCGCCCCATAAATGCAGTAATCAATAAAATTGATATTGTTTAATTGGAAATTGTTTTCGCGACCATCTTGAGTTACATGTGGACCATGTTCAAATGACACCACGTTCATGACTTACCGTCGGGCTAAATCGACATGTAAAGATTTAAATCAAACAGAGACACGAATAAATTTTTAAAAACCCGCAAAATTCGATGGATTTCAATTGCAAACTCATCTCAGCTATGCCACTTAAAAGAAAAGACATTCTGTAATCTGTAATGCACCGGATCCTCTCTAAAAATAAAATTATCCGACAAGCGATGAAATGAGGTTGAGATAAAGGCAAATCAATTTGTATGACGTGCATACATAAATTTATTGTTAGAGATATTTGTTGGGCGAAAATGTAAATATTTTGCTATATTTAATCAGAACAATACGTTTGATGTGGCCTTACAAAAGGGCATGGCGATTCAAATTTCGATTATCGTCAAGTGACTTGACTTGTAACAGTTTCCTTCATTTCTAATAGATTTATTATTGGATAGATGCATGTTTATGTACTTTATATATTCTATTTAGATATAAGAGTTGTAAACAATGGCACATTTTTAACTGCAGTCTTTTTTGACTGAAGTGCCAATTTTCTAAAGTGTAAAGATTTAACGTGTAAAATTTACACATTTTGGGTTTGTTTGGTCTCTTCCAGGATTGTTTCAGTTTAGGGTCTGTGTGTCTAACAAGAGAATTAAGTTAAACTCTTAAGATGTTAACGGTTGAATTTTGTCTGGTTCTTAAATGACACACTCGAATTGTAAAACAAATACGAGGCAAAGTAGTTGAAATCGCAGAATAATGCGGAGTACTATGGTGAACAATATCAAAATGTAACTGATATTCAGTACCCTCTGACCGTTTGAATTCTCCAGTGAAGTAAAGGGTTGGGTGAACGCCACAACATCATCGCATTCTCAGTTGTCGTATTATGAACGCGAAGCCAGGTCACAGTATGTGTAAAGCGCAAGCGTTTAAAATACAAATGACATAAAGGAACCAAAGTGTGACGTCACTGTGAACCAAAAAGTGCAGTGCAAACGAATGGACAACGCACGCGTGTAGGTTTGCGCGCTGGTTCTCGTTGTAATGCCTTTCACACACATAGGTGCGCAGGACATATTCACTTCGGTAATCAGTACAGTTCAGAGAAATCGGACAACGAATTTTAGTAGTGTACCAAGAGCATGGCTGAGCGAAGAAACGTTTTCCTGCACGCTACAATGTCATATTTACTGGTTTTGATTGGCCAATTCAGCTTGCTTTGTTGTTAAACATGTTCTATAAATTAAGGATGTAATAAAATCGAGCCGCAAAGATGACACTTGTTCTTCTGATACCCTGCAGCGTTTGTGCTACCTGGGTTTAAACGCTCAGTTAAGGGAACTTAGTTTCTAAATATGGTTGTTCAAATGTGAAAAACTCTGTTAATATTTACATTTGGATTTGTCCATTTTTCACAGACGAACTTCAACCGGTAACGGGGAGCAAATCATATCGCTTATAACTAAACAGCAATCTTATTGTTGCAGCTGAGCTCTTCAAGTTCCAGACGGAACGTATACTACTTCGTTTAGAATTTTTGAAAAATAAAACATCATTGTGACATCATTATATTGTTGTATCCTTCCCGCGGTATTTTGTACGTTTCTGTTTGTTATTTTTTGAGGAGAGTTCTCTGTTTTTCAGTATTTGTGTCTCTGGTTATCTACTCAGTGAAACAATGCAGACAAACAGTAAAATGTTTTTACTGTTGGTTTGTAAAACAATTGATCCTTTTATTGCTCGGTCAAAGCAATTTGACGTCATCAAAATGTGAGAGTTTGTGAGGGTTTCAAGTTTTATCATACTTGCTTATTGCTACGGGATTTAGTCCGATATTACCGATGAGTTGACATCTTTACGTTAATGTACAATACCACGCCAAGCAAAACTAATCATTTCTGGTAATGACACCAAGGATTCCTCAAAATTTGCCCAAGGAACTGTAGCTCACAAACCTGTAGTGGTGTTGGAGGGTTTAGAGGTGGGAGGAAAACCCCAGAGGAATATTCTGGGTAAAAAACCCACGGAGTTAGGTAGGGACTGGAAACCCAATCCACATGTGGATTGGACCGGGATTCGAACCCGGGACCACAGAGGTGGAAGACGAGGAAAGAACCACTACACCAACCGGACTCTCCTGTGATCTATGAAAGACGGCAATGTCAAACAGTGTGGACAAAAAATATCAACAGCCGGGCGATGGACCTCTTCAGGTCTAGCCCTTGTGGTCGCTGGCATCCAAAAGGTTTGGGAACCTTTTGAGAAATCTGCCTTGTGCATAAAAAAACCCAATCAACAAAAACCTAATCTATGACTCCATTGTTCTGTGAATGCATGAATTAAAAGTAGATTTGACATTTGGGAATTTCCGAGAGTTGGACCTTAAAAATTTGACATGGCATACCATCCAACGTATACACATCCTTCTAAAGAAAACAATTAAAAAAAACAAATACTCTTAGGAAATATCGCTTTTGGCTTTTGTTTGTTCCTTTGTTTTATTTTTCCAGCATCAAGCCCTTTCCTCCTGACTCGGAAAACGTGGCCTTTACCACATTGGCGGCGTAAGCTATTCACAGCCGCTACTTCCTGTTGCTAAATGGATACGCCTATTTTCTCTTGTCGATCGCAAAATACATCCGAACACAATAAAATTTTAACACCCGCCGTAGACAATAAGAATCAAACCAAAGGGGAATCCCCAGAAAATCTCCAAAACTTTTGAGAAAGGAAAAACCACAGGCTTTTGTCCAGGGTCACGCAAAGTGAGAACGCCGGGCACCAAAATTCATACTTTTTTTATCTGGACAAATTCTCTCTGTAGAGGATGCAGCTGCGTGTGATTGGAAGGGCTTCATTGTCGAAAGCTACCGTAGAGTGAGATTACTTCAGCACAGCTGGCTATCTATATCGGCAGGAGCTTTACCCCCCACACTTCACTGTTACTGCGGGGAAAAATGAAATTTTTAAACTAACATTTACTGATTAAAAACATATATTCACGTTTATTTCAAGGTTTAAAATATAAAATGTACACGTTTTCAACACATTTTAACGATCAAAAAGATACATTTGAAGATTTTTAAACATTTAACTTGATACACTAACCAAATTGGCCCATGAGGCAACTGTGAGTTTCCATATAGTATAGCATGTAAACTATAGGCCTAGATCAGAATTATCATTATCTGGTTTGCAAAGGGAAAGTTGGGTAGCTGGATGATGCATGGAACAGAAAAGAATGGTTTTAATCTTGCTGATTATAAAGCGGGTTACGGGCGATATCAAATCGGTCTGATTCAAAGTGCTTCGGGAGAAAATGGAAGAAGATTAATTCTTGCAGTTATTCGAATTACCTTAGAACATTTTTATTTCTTCCTGGTTCCATCTGAGCGGAAGATTCCAGGGTCACTTCTGTCAAGGGGAACTCGTATTTACTAGACTTCCTGGTCTCGGGAAAATGAAATAGTCACCACATGTACCAAGGGTGTTGTAGTACAGACCAATGCTGTATTTGCGTGTGCCCAACTATCGTAAGCTGATTGCATGGGGGCGCCCTGTCACAAAAACGGCTTATTTATTTCCTTTGGCGGGTCATTCAGAGAAATGGATTATGTTGTGTGAGGGCAAAATCCATTTCTCTGAAGAGAGCAATTTGAATTCACCTTAATGATGCGGCCAAGAATATGCTTGTCTGAGTAGACACAAGTTGAAGGGAATTCCATTAAATTAAGAAGTACCGCTTCGACAAATTCTGCAAGGGAATGGATGACAGAAGGTTTTTGAAAGAACTACATGAATTGAGATTGACAGTCTCTTAGACCTTATCAATAGAAAAAAAGAGAGATTTATTTATATAGCCATTTTCTTTTAGCTAAGACTAACCTCGTTTGAAATGGTCAACTTTTAAAGGTTTTTCCCTCGGAACATTATGGAAACATGAGATGCGCCTAAGAAAAGTAAGGAGTCACTTTGCATCAGGTAAATACAGAGATTAATGTATCAATGTCTAAATTAATGTCTAAACTGAGTCTGAATTTTTCACTCACGACTTACGCCGTGACGGTCTATAAATTGGAAACGGCGCCCTCTACACACATTGGCATTTGTTGCCGAACCTCAGTGACGAAGCTAAAACAAGTTCGTGATCAGAAACTGGTCAGATACATTATTCAATGACGCGACAAAGCCTCTTAAACCTACAAAAACACAAATAAATAACTCCAGCAATATTTTGCCTCTTGAGAAATATTTTGCAAGTATCGGAACGCCTGGCTCTCAAACTCTTTGTATTTTAGCCAGCAAGAAGTTGACTGCAGTTTCTGTAGACTGTACTAATTCCGGCAACATTAGTTGCGATACTTGTGTACTAAATTCCAGTCGTATCATTGCAGAAGAGTGAAGACACCTGCTATTCTGGCTCCACACGTTCCTTCATCTGATTCTAAGACAAAAACCTAAGACCCAGTTTATATCTCGTGCGATGGGCAAACAACGTGGAACTGTAACGTCAGGTCACAATATTCGTGCTGCCAGTGCGTACAAGTTGAACAGATTTCGACTCGAGCAAATTTCGCACCCAAAGTTTCGCCGCGTTCAATTTGCTGTGCAGTCGTGTTCAGCTCAGCTCAAAAATGAACCAACCTCAACTCCTACCTGATTAGAGGAATTATTTATTGAACACATTCCATCCCAATTCACACAATAATATAAAGATTTCAATATTTTAAGGGCCAGGCAACACGTAAACCGCCTTTGTTATGACATTGAATCCATCTCTTGGTGCGGTCTGTGAAACGGCACCCGTTATCCCATATGAAGCAAACTATACTATGGGACAGAGAGAACCCCCCCCCTTGTGTTGGTCATTGTTCTACTGGTGTCTCTGGAATTCTTTTCAGACATCTAGGGGGAGGTGTTAAGTGACAATAGGCTGGAGTGTGTACAGGGATTGGACTTGTTGCCGGGTACCCCTCTGTCCCATTTCGTGCCTGGTATACGTTGTGCTTTCTCGGAAGAATTCAAACGGCAGCCAAAAATTTTGACCAGCACCTCCATCAAAGTAACAGCTGTAACTCTTGTGCAATTTATAAGTGTTTGACCAGCGGAAATCACAAACTAGGCTACACGGTCCCTGACGGAAGAGACGGCTTCCGTAGACGGAAACTCAGCTGCAAAAATTTCTTGGAAGTCCGGGAAGTTTGAGCGATTAACAACCTGTCATGAGCGACCTCAGCCTGTGCAGGTGTGGAACAATACTTGACCCGCTGATCTCGTCCTGCGAACTGGGAATCCGACAAAAATCAATACGATAAAATTCAGACTCCTACTGATCTGAAAAACAGTCGTTAAACAGCATTCCATTTAGACTTGGTTACACTTTCGCATCTGGATATCCACACTCTAAATTCTGCCTTAATTCGAAGGGAATCAGCTCCAATTTGTTCAGTTCTTCTGAGGTTTAAACACTGTAAAGCTGTTCAATTCTGAAAGGGAAAAAACAGTATTCAAGATGTCCCAAATAATTACGAAGCACCGGCCAACTAGTTTTCAGGCATTCCGGAACTGTGTGTCTTTACCTTGGAATCGGCCCATTTTGTGGTTTCGATGGCAGGGACTTAAACGTCCTTGCCGGCTGACCGCGATTTGAGCGGAACAAGTTCTACTGAAGTTCTTCATCCAGTCTGACCAGCTGGACACTGTCCCTCCGGTCACAATCGATCAAGTGATTTGTATTAGGGGTATGGTTCCAATTCTCGGCTATCCGTTACTGTTCAAACACTACAACCTCGAACCTGTTCAATACATAAACCCCTGCTTACCATTACGGTCAAAATATCCCATCCTGTTCCCGATATAACTTCGAAAAGAAATATGTTGTTGATATTTTTATTACAAGAGCGCAAAAAAAGCTACTTTTCTGGAGCGCTTTCGTAGAATTCTAGCTATTAAACCATAACGCCACCAGTCCGGACATTTTACGACCAGACTTATATTACCACATTGGGCATTTCCATGAAATCATGCCATGATTATTACAAACCACTGCCAACCAAGAAAAATAACATGATTTGGTTTGACGCTCAACTACACTGCTTATTCATGGATCTGCTGTTACCCCTCTCATATCTTTCTTCTCTTAATGTCTTATCGGTTATTGAAAGTTCGAGGAAGCTTTGATCCACGGTTCCAACGGGACAAATCCGCAAGTAGAACGATAAAAAAAGCTATACAACTCTGCTGTGCAGACGTAATCCTCAATATGTCTTGTAATCCGTCTTGTTTCAATTAATGGCTTTATTTGTTTATTAAGTTTAGCAGTTCCTGGTTTGAAGAAAAAAGAAAATTTGGCCTAATTCAGTCTGGAACGAGAGACTGATGGGCCCTATTCCATGGAACATCAAGTAATTACAGATTTTGTTCTTCAAGCAAATGGAGAGCCAGAAATGTTTTTCTGTTGCTAATTGTTAGGCGCCTTTGTTCACCGAAGGTCGGTCGTGTGACGATGCTGCATTTTTGGCCATCAGTACGCGTGCCACCACTAGACTTGTCAATTGGATAATTTGACT